GTTGCAGCATATTCATAATTTTCATATGATAAGCATAAATTAAGATCAGATAATCTTAAGAAAAGAACATGGTCACCAATTTCCGTAAAGAGTTATTTCAACAACAACAAGAGCGGAACTAGCAAGTACACTTCAAAACGACGAATATTTTGTATAGTGGAAAGGGATCTTAGAATGCTTCAAAGTTTAGTTTTTAGTATTTGTAAACTCTAAGCTCCAATGCTTTCAGAAGCACGGTTGCCATTGGAACTCCTTTCCCCCTCGAACCTATCAATGCCAAGGTATTCTCAAATGATCTGTTAGTTGATATAGGTTTCCACTCCACATCAATTACCACCCATTTATGCTCATGAAGTACTTTATATAAAGCTCCTACGATTTGATATCATTAGAGGGAAGGCAAAATGAAGGTTAGAAGAGTTATGGATGTCTTAACATCTCTTAGTAGTTTTTTGCCAAGCCTCACAAGTAAGACGGTACCATTGCACTGTTCTGAAACCATCAAATCAGGGAAGACAAGATGGAGTTAAAATTGCATAGCACAACCTACAATCTTTGATCAAGTTGATATCTCAAAATTTTTCATACTCACTTAACTTTCACTTGTCCATAAATTTGTATAAGAAAGATTTTGAAAACTCAGCCTACTCCCACGACAGAGACATTCCACAACCTAGTTATAACCTCATGGTTAGTTATGATTTCTATACCCTATGATCCACATTTATCTTCACTTGTGTTCAATTGCTGAAAAAACATTAACACATAGTTTTTTCTTTTGAAAATTATTAACACTTGGATTTTTACTATAGTTCTTTAACCAGATGCTATCATTTATCACATCCTTCTACCTTGTATAGGAGAAGAGAACTTGTCTTGATGAAAGCCAACCACTCTTTGTTTTTTGATTAGACAGTAGAATAGTTCTATAAGTTGTAAAACATAAACAATACCTGTTGGTGCCGTTTAGTAGGCTTTTTCTGGACTGTCTCCCAGCCGTCATTGTTTCCCTCATCCTCCTGTAGATACCAGTAAAACATGTGAATACCGCCATGAGGGAGATTAGAATAAATATGATAATTGATCAAGACCGAACCTTTTGCTTCCAACTGCTTTGGTTGACATTGTCTCTCCTCTCATCTTCATTTCTTTGGTACCCCTGAGGTGAAGCCTGCATGTTTTGAGACGGCTGAGAACAATTATTGTTCAAACAGAAACCACATACTACTACACAGTGATTACATGAATATTTCACACTCGTGACATGATTATACTTATCGCTTCATTCTTCAACTCACTTGAGATCTTATACAAGACGATTGTTCTTTTAGTTTAGAACTAATTTCCGTATGAAAAAATTAAAGCCGAGTTTTATTGCCTTTCAAACAGTTACTTGTTGTAAAAATTTGCATCATATGCAATACCATTCCAAGAGCTTTTTCTTATCAATTCAGCACTAGCATCTTGTTCTCTCATATTGCATAAATCAACTGTACAAGCAGCCCTGCACCTTCTTTGCACAAACAAGAAGAGAAAAACAATCACACTTCTCCTTCCCCATCCCATCACACCACCAAACGAATTCTTTGGATTAACTAATAAAACAACAAGGATGACTATAAATCGGTCACAAAATAGTTGGGAATTGTTATATGCAGGGGCAAAGGCACAATTTTAGTAACTGGGTTCAAACACGTGGCAGAAATGGGATTTTCACCAAGGGGATACAAAATATAAGGAAGTAAATGTATGAAGAAGCCAAGGGGTTCAATATCTACTATATATATATATA